ATAACCGAGAGAAAGATAGATAGAGAAAAAGAGAGAGAGAGAGAAATTTAAATTCTACAAACGATTAATTACTCGCGCGCACATGCACACAATTGAAAAGCACTTTCACGTTCGACATTTTCACTGATAAAAAAAAAATCATCATCATCATTATTATCATTTTTTTGTTCAGCATGAATCGTACGGTAAATAAAAACAAAAAAAAATTCGTAGTGGAATTAGACAAATTACATTTTAATTGACGTAAAACAAAGTTTTCGACCATTTCTTACTGACGTACATACAAACACACAACAAACAGTAAAACAAACGAAATAATAAAAAAAAAAGAAAATATTAATTGCGTCTATCTCTTTCTCACTCTCTCTCTCACTCAACGGAATATTATTATTATTAATATTATTATTGTCGTCGTTGTTTTATTTAACGCAAATTACTGACACAGATATTCAATTACAAAACTCATCGGCATTATTTTACTCAGAAAATATAATCATTTCCCTTCTCTTCTCTTCTTCCCTCTACCCCTTAACCCCTCGAAATCATTTTTCTAGGTTGACATTTGTTTTTTAGCTAACAAACGCAAACGATATTTGTTAATAATAATAATAATAATAAAATTTTATGCAAAATTAAAACAAATTTAAAATCGCAAAAAAAAAAAAAACAAAAAATTTTTTGGCATTATTTTATTTTTTTTTTTGGGTAACGTGTCTTCAGAATGTTTCGTTTTGTAAAGTCTTAGTACGTGACGTGAACCGAAAATTTCTTTTCCTTTACTTTAACTACAAACGACAAACAACAAACACACGCGACCGATTTTTTTCTGTTTAAAAAAAAAAATAAAAAAAATTTTTTTTTTTTAAGGTTGAGGTCGGGTTTGTGTCGGGTAACGCATTCTTCCAAAATATTATTACTACTGACACGTGGTCTCATACGTTTAAAACAAAAACCCCGATTTATTTTTTCTATTATCGATACGATTAATTAATTAATAATCGAATGTCGTAACATTCGATTAATCTAAATTTAAAAAAAAACGAAATTGATTTATGCGTGCGTGTTACAAAAAAAAAAAAACCCGCACGTGTGCGTGCATGTGTGTGTGTCGAACTACAGCAAAAACAATTTTTTTTTTTAATGACACGACAAAAAAATTTCTTCTTTTTTTAAACAATCTAAATACCCGCATTTTTCCGAAACGGGTCATTTTTAAAAAAAATTTTTTCCCATTTCGACGTGTAAAATAAAATTAAAATAAATTTTCTTGTCACACGTTTTTTTTCCGTACCTTTTGATTAATTAACAAAAAAAAATTATTTTTCTACTGCCACACTCGCGTAAAAAATTTATTTATTTATTTAAATAAATAAACACGTTAATATCCGTGAATTTAATAATGGCGAACAAACGGGAAAAACTTTCGCGCAACAACCGTTTGGCAACTAAATCCGTGGACCATAACAACACATGAAAGACGGTCCCCCGACTCGCTTGGTTTTTTTTTGCGCATGCGCAATTTATTCAATAACCCAGCATACGTTTCTCATACCATCGGACAGACTCTATCATTCTCTTCTTATCATTTCTCCTAACAACATCTCCCCTACCCCCCAAAATAATTTTTTTCCATACCCTCCCTCACTCTCTTATAACTCATCTCGTTTTGTTTTCCCTTTCTTTCGTTTGCACGCACCCACGCACTCACGCACTTACGCACTTTCCGAATGCAAAAATGATAATAAAACAAAATAAGTTTTTTTTTGTAAAAAAAGAATTTCTTTCATCGAGGCGTAAACGCAATAAAATTATTAAACGATTACGTAATCGTACAAACGTCACAATCTATCTCTCTCTCTCTCTCTCTAACGTACAAACAACAACAACAACAACAATAAAAATATTATGGATGCATGCATGCATGCATTTCTATTTTTATTATATTTATATTTATATATACAAACTGTTTACGATTGTTTCGCGTCATTTTTTTTTTTTACGAACGCAACAAACACAAACGCGCCATTTTTTTTGCAACGTTTTTTATTTTTTTTTGCGATTGGATCGGAAAAAATACAAAACGTTGCGTAAAAAAGTTTCAAAATGGCGGCAATTCGGTGCGACCGAAAAATAATAAGTAATCAAATTCGTTATTATTATTATTTTTTTTTCGATAAATCGAATAAATAGATAAATCGATAATCGATTCGATGATAAAGACGTGCAGTCAGTGACTTATTGAAAAACCGGAAATGGGGTGAGGGGCGGGGGGAAAAGTAAATTTTATTACGATTTTTTTTGAAATTTTATAAATTATCGAAATATATAAAAATTTAAATCGTATGCATTGTTGCCAACGTTTACGGGGTTGAAAAAAAAAAAAAAATTACCTCTCGTTTGCGTAACGAAGGATTTACGCCATTAAAAATCAAAAAGTTTTTTGCTACGGTTTATTGCGACATTTTTCATTCTTTCTTTTCGTTATTTTGTCGTTGTTGTTGTGTTAAAAAGTTCAAAATAATTTAAAAATGTTAAATCATTTGAGAATTTTATTATTATCTAATAATTCGAAATCGTTGTTTTGCGCGCGCGCGAAATCAAATTTTTGTAACGGACAAAAAAAAAACGTTCGAATGATTTAACGAATTTTTTTTTTTTAAATTCTCTTATCTATTTATTTTTTAAAAAAGAATTTTTAACATTTTCGTATTAAAATCCTTGAATATTATTATTATTATTATTTCACCATTATCAAAAAAAAAAAAGTGATAACGAAATTTTACGTTCAAAACGTGTTATAAAGATTTCAAAAAAAAAAAAAAACCGTTACGAACTCGATTTGTATATTTTTTGAACTCACGATTGCGACGTCTAACGTAAAATAAATAAACTAAATTTGTTAGTACTTACCGCATGTAGATGTCGTCGTTGTTGAAAACAGTTTTAACGTTTTTCATAGAGTAGTTAAACGGAAACGATAGGGAGAAAACGAATAACAAACGAATGAATGAATAAATGATTGAATTGACTTACCGCTGTAATCGCTTAGAAATTCTCTCGATTCTAAATTTTTTTTAATTTCATCTTCTTCCGCCATTCTCAAATCTATCGGATTGTACGAAATGTTTTCTTTTTTTAACGAATTCACTAATGTTTCCATCATTAATTTACACGAATGCAGCCCCGATATTTTCGCGTAACCGTTTCTCACGTACATGAGCGAAACTTTTTTCCAATCGTATCTGAAAATAATAAATTAAAAAATAGAAAATTAATAATAATAATAATAATATAGAAGTTTTTCTCATCTCTTCCCCCCTCCCACTTAAAAAAACTCGTTAATTTATAAACACGTGAAATAGTTTTGGGATTTTGACGACAACATACGACTTTAATAATCTTTCCTCTGGAAAGAGAGAGAGAGAGAGAGTGAATTGACTTTCGTATTTAAACGAAATTTGTTTAAAGCCATTCAATAATAAATGACACTCCGGGCAACGTTTAAAAAATAAACAAAATCTCCATTTCGATACGTCGTCTGCTTTAATAATAATAATAATTTTTCTTTTATCAAATTTTTTTTTTTTTTTGGAGAAAACCACGACGTCGACAAATTCGTTATTTATTTATTTAAGTATTTTTATTTTTTTAATAGTGTGGAGAAAGAGAGAGTGAGAGAGAAAAAGAGAGGAAAACTTATCACGTGATCAAAGGAGTACAAAATTTTCAAAAAAATATTTTCTCGTTTTTTTTCCTTTTAAAAATCGTAAGTAGATTACAGTCTCAGTATCGTTTCCTCTTTTTGTTTTCTCTCTCTCTCTCTCTCTCTTGGGTCCTTTCCAGCCTTTCTCTCTCTCTCTTTCTCTTTCTCTTCGGTCTTTTCCAGTCTTTTTCTCTTTCTCTCTTCGGTCTGTCTGAATTTCCTTTCACTTAAGTCTATCAATCACATTTTCTCTTTCTTTTTCTTTTCTCTTTCCTCCTACTTTTCTCTCTCTCTCTCTCCCTCTTTTTCCTCCCACGTTTCTTCATCATTTACTTCATTTCAATCGCTTAATAATTTTTTTTCTTTTCTTTTTCCCTCCCCCTCCCTTCTCCCGCAACTTTATCGTTTCTCAATCAAATCACCGCAAAATTTTTTTTTTTTATTTATTTACTTTTTTTCTTTTTCTTTTTTTTTTGTTTTTCCTGTTTTTTGTTTCGATCGGATCGCAATGCAGGTGAGCCAACATTTAATTTAATAATTTTAAAATTGGCAACAATGTTTTATAATTAATTATAAACAAAATTAAATTCAGATCAAATGAATATCGACTAATAAAAATTATTTTTAAATTAATAAAACGATTATAAACGATTCTCTTCTCTTTCTCTCCCTCCCCCCTCCTTCCCCATCCAGTCTATCCAATTTTCTCATTTTTTCCCGCCTCTACCACCACCACCACCTCCTCCTCCTCCTTTTTCCGTATATTAATTAATTAACGTAGTTTTTTAAACTTTTTTTTCATTATTTTTATTTTTATTCGAAGCAGAATAAAAATTAAAAATAAAAAAAAATTAATTAAAAAATAAATTAAATTTCAATTTTTTTTTGTATAACGGTCGCAAACCTTATTAACAGCAAAAAACGATGATGACAATAATATTTTTTTCGGAGTTTAAACGTTTGAAAGTTTTTTTTTTAAACAAAATTAAAATTCGAGTTTGGATTAAAATGAAAAAAATTTTTTTTTTTTTTTTGGAAAAAAGGATTTCCGGTTTTTTTTTTATTATACTGCCTCTGGAATAATTTTTTTTTTTTGAATAAACAACCCTCCCACCCCCTCGGGAAAAATATTTCATTAACAAAAATTTATAATTATTGACGTCATCAATTTTAATTTTTTTTAATGGGCAGATAAAATTATTAAAAAAAAAAAAAAAAAAAAAACGAATTGATTTTGTTTGAAATTTTTTAAAATTTTATTTTAATAAAAAAATCTCAAATGTTGGCAACACTTTTTCTATTCTTTTGGTGGCAAAAAGACAACCGGAAGTGAATGGAAACAAACTGAAACCTTCAAATTAAGAGTTTTACCAAAGTCTCGAAGTCTCTATCTCGATTCTCTTACCGTTCCCATCCACCCTTCCCCTCTCCACCTTCTTCCTTCCTTTCCCTCCCAATCCCCTCCCGTTTCCGGATAAAAATTACGTACCTGTGTAATATTTTAAGTATGAAATTAGAGATTTCTTGAAAATCAACGACTCCCGTTCTGACGAGTAAATGAAAATCATTTTTACAGGATGTTTTATTTTGTGCAAAATCAAACGTTAATGCACCCGTCGTGAGTAATGGAATGTTCCAGAATCGAACCATACGAGCAACGGCAGCTGGAAAAAACAAAAACAAAAAAACACAATTACAATTTTTTTTTTTTTTAAATTCTTTGAAGGACGTTACAAACAAAAAAAAAATCTTTTTCGAAAAAAAGATGAAGAAAGATGAAGAAGAAAAAAAAAGATGGCGAAGGATTTAAAATTAAACGACTGGAAAAAAAATAATAAAAAAAGAAAGAAAAAAGATAATTTATATCTTTATTAATAAAAAAAAAAAGAGGAAGAAGGAGAAGGAAAAGATAAAACTGTCGAGAAAATAAAAAAACAAAAGGAAAAAAAATAAAGTAGAGGGATGATTAAAGAAGGGAGGGAGGGGGATGCGGAAAGTGTTAAAAATTTGATTTATTGCATCCCTTAAAAAACAAACAAACAAACCGCGTTTGGGTTACAAACAAAAAATAAAAAATAAATCAATTAATTTATTAATTAAAATTTTTATTCGAAAACAAACAACAAACAAAAAAATTATACAAAAATTTTGTAAGAAAAAATGCTGGAAAAATGAAATCCCTGGAAAAAAAATCTTTAAAATGTTTTAATTGATAGAGAAAACAATTCACAACAAAAACAACAATTTCGTCATCGTAATCATCGACAACAACAACAACAATAACCGAAATTTTTTTTTTTGTTTCAGTTTTTTCCAGTACGCAAAGAATTTTAAAAATAAATAAAAAACAGAAGGGAATAAAAAAAACGTTGTCAATGTATATACAAATGAAAAGAAAAGATAAGAAAAAAAAACCGGAAAAAATAATGAAACAAACGAAACAAACAAACGGGGGGGGGGTGGAGGGAAACATCAAATTTCAAAAGTTTCTATCGATGTCTGTCGTCGGTTTAAAAAAAATCCTACGGAGAAAATTTTTCTGATTTTTTTTTCTCTCCAAAATACTCCTTCCCATTCTTCCCGTGAATTTTTCCTGAAAAAAGGTTTCGAAAAAGGTTTTGTCCAAAACATAACTGGAGAAAAATTTATATGTAAACTAACGTAACCGTTTTTTTAATTCGATTTGTAAACATTGAAAATTTATTCGAATGGATAAACTTCCATACGTAATCAAAAAAAAAAAAATTTTTGTTTGTTATTCCCGAATTTAAATATGACGTCATTTTCAGTTAGACTCTTTATTAATACGAGTGTTACGTCATCATCATCCGTTACAAATTTTTACACGCAATCGACGTAATTGTTTCTTCTTTTTCTGATGATGACGACGACGGTTTTGTTTTTGAACAATCCGCGTGCGAGATGAACAACTGGAAAAAAAATCACCATGGTTGATTTCCGGTTTCCGGTTTCATAGAATTATTTTCTTTTTTTTTTTGATTGCTTATATCCGGTCACGTGTTTGTGTCCTTTACCGTCTCATTCCTTTTCCGATTGTTTGTTCGATGCTCAAACAGTGAAAAACGTCACTGTTCGAGTTCCAGATGAGTTTTCATTGTTATGTTTTTGTTTTGCCGTTTCCGTTTTCCTCCTTCCATCTTTTCTCCAGACGCACACACACACGCACATACACACACTCTTTCACATCAGATTTATTTCCTTATTATTAATTTCTATTCTTTGTCGTCCAGTCGGTGGAATGAAAAATTATTTTCTCATTACAATAACTGTTTACTCTTCCTAATAATTCATTCATTCATTCATTCATTCCTAATTCTGTTTCGTATTTCCGAATTTGTAAATTTCTAAAAAAATTTTTCCAAGATATTTGTTTAAATTTCCACGAACAAGTTTCTTAATTAATTTTCCTTCTGGCATGATAACATACTTTTTTTTCTCTCTCTCTCTCTCTCTCTCTCATTGATTATTCTATGAATGATTTCGGAATATTTTTCAATTTTCCAATGACGTCAGCTTAAAACTTATCTGCGGTTGTTAACATTTTCTTCGACTTTCTCCATTTCCCATCCCCCCCCCACTTTGAGTTCTTGTGGAAAACTTTTAACTTTGCAACCTGATTTCCTTATTTCTTTTTCATATTTATTATCTCTTTAACTACTCTAAGGGGGGAGGGGAGGTAGGGATTAAAGAAAAAATAAAATAAATCCCCCCCCCCGAAATATTCTATATTTTATTATTATTATTATTTTTTTTTTTGGAACATTCTTTAAAAGTTAAATAATTTTATAAATCCGCAGTGCGGTTACAAATAAAATTTACTCGTGGGCACCCGTTTCACCCAGCATCATGAAAATTTTTCCTTTTTTCATTTCCTTTGTCCAGTCAGACTTTAGTTATCGATAAAAAAAAATTAAAAAATTTTTTTCCTTTGAATACTTCCTTTTTGAAAAATTATTTTATTTTTTCTAAATCGTTTGTGTTCGCTTTTTTTTTTTATGGTCAATCGGAAGACATTTTCCGTACCTTTTCCAGATTTTCCAATATTACGAATTCCTTTTCTTCCCTTTCCTTCTCTTCCCGTTTCGGGAGTTTCCTTTTTCTTACTTTATTATACTTTAAACGACTTGAAATTATTTAATCTCGTTTACGTCATCACTTTTTTTTTTAAAATCATTTTCTCGTCTGCTCGGAAAATTATTACAAATGTCCGACATGATTTTCAATTCCTTTAAATTTTTTTTCCTTTTCAACGCCGATTAAATTTTAACGGAAATTGTAACGGAAATTGTTTTTTTCCCTTTTTAATATTTTTATCCTTTGGGAAAAAAGAAAATTTTTCCTTTTATATATGTATTCGAAATTAATCTTATATAATTTTTGGATTATTTCATCCTATCTTCCTTCCTTCCTTTCTTTTTTCCATTGATTTCGTTTAAATGTTTTCATTTACAAGTTTTAAAATGAATGACACGTGTTCGTGTGCGTGTACGTGCGCGTGTTTTCTCCTTTTTATTATTAATCCTTAGCTTATGATATGTTTTTTTCTTCCATTCTATCCCTATTTCCGTTCTTGTGTTTATGTTTAGTATTCGTTTTATGCTTTTCCAATCAGTATAAAAACTTTCATTGCTTTCTCTCTCTCTCTCTCTCATTTTTGTTTGTTTGTTTGTTAATCCCTCTTTTGAGTTTTTTTTTTTTTAAATCTAGAATGTTCCGTTTTTTTTTTTTTTTTTTAAGTATCGAAACTTTTCAAAAATTATAATTTTCCCCCGTAAAATGATATTTTATCGAAAGTACGTTTGTTTAAACAATTTTCTCCCTTTTTCGTAACAACCGCGTTTGTCGAGTCAGTTTTCTTTTCCCTCGGCTTGATTTTTTATTAACAACCTTTTATCATAAATTATCATTAATAACAATTTTGTATAAAGAATGAAAAACATACAAACTAATTTCGAACGTTAAAATGTGCAAAAAAACATGGCGTGCACGCAACAAACAACAACAACAAACAAATTTCATTTAATAATAATAACAATAATCATTTTGAATCTTTTTTTTTTTTTCGTAAAATTTAAACAAAGTCAAGTAGGTAAAATGAAAATGTTTGTTGTTTTTTGTTTGTTTGTTTTGTTCAATTTCACTCGAATAATAATAATAATAATAATAATAATAATAATAATAATAATGATAATAATATTTAATGTTAAAACCCATTCAAAAATTAATAACAATAATAATAATACTAAAATTTTATCATCAACCCCAAAATATATATTTTAAATAGTTCTTTATTATTTTTTATTATAGTAATAATAATAATAATAATAATAATAATAATAATAATAATAATAATAATAATAATAATAATAAAACTCTTGAATTGATTAAAACCCTTAAAAAGAAAAAAAACCAGGAGCGGATTAAAAGTAAAACAACAAACCCGATAATAGTCGATCATTTTTTTCTTTCTTTTTTTCTACCCACGCGTTCATCATTTTTTCAATACAACAACAACAATAATTATTATTATTATTATTATTACACGTGGCAATTGTATCCATGAAATATGTGACGTAATCATTCACAAAAAAAATTTTTTTTTTAAAGATTTCATTTTTATATTGGAAAATAAAATAAAAAAATAATTTATTGATGAATTTGTTGAAAAATTGCTGTTGTTGTTGTTGTTGCAAAAACTAACAAACGAAAAATTTAAAATGACAAACGCATTTCCTCCTTTTCTTCTTCTTCTACTCCCTCTTTCCCCGCCCCCTCTTCCTCCTCCTCCTTCGAAAAAAAAAGTTTCCTGTGAAAGTTTTCCATATTGAACCTTTTCAAATTATTCCAAAAACTATTAAAAAAGGAAACAAGTTTTTGAACGGATAAACAAATAATTTGTTTGTTTGTGTTTGTTTTCTTTTGAAATTTCATTTATTATTTTAATGGGTTCAACAACAACAACAAAAATTTGTTAAAAAATGTCCTAAATAATTGTAATCAAATAAAAGATGGCGACGATGATGACGTCGATGACACATGATGAAGACGAGAGGGTGTGAAAACAAACAAGAAAAGGTCATACATACTTATATTATCATTATTATTATTATTCTTTTAAACGGATGAATGATTTTTTTTACTGCCACGTTTTTTTTTTTTTCGTCTTCTTACACTTCACTCCTCACACGCACACGCACGCACGCACGGAGATTTTTTTTTCCCCTTTCGAATGTTATTTCTCGAAAATAAAATATTTCAATTTTATGTTATAATTCAATTAGGTTTTATTTTAATTCCGATTCGAATAATAATGATGATGATAAATACAATCATCATTATTATTCGAACCGGAAATGAGCAAAAAAAAATTCGTTAAAGGAATCCGGAAATTGTGAAAACCGACGCGATGATTATTTTCGAATCCCTTAAGCCTATCATTTATTGAATAAAGTTATTTAAACGATAATAATAATAATTTTTTGATTCTCAACTAAAACTTAACAGACAGTTTTCCTGTTTCCGGTTTTTCGGCTTTACGAAATCGAACATAAGGGAAAAGTTAAATTTTGTTGTTGTTTTTTTTTTTTTGTTATCGAATGTGAATACGTTTATTATTTAATTAACATCCAGACGGTAGATATATGTATTTGTTCCTGGATAAAAGTGGAAAACTTTTAATGCCCATTATCATCATTATTATTCGTTTTAGTAAAGGAACCAATCAGAAATTAAAAGAAAGATTTTTAAAAATGACGTCACCGAATTTCCTTCGGGTTTTTTTTTTTTTCAATGTAAATTTTCATTCGTTTTTCTTTTTAACTTCGTCGGGGACACCGATTTGGAATTTTGTAGTTGATTCATCGTTGAATCCGCAATGGCTTCAGTTTTTTGGTGGTGGTGGTGGCGGTAGCGGAGGTGGTGGTGATGGCGGTGGTGGTAGCGGAGGTGGTGGTGATGGCGGTGGCGGTATATTAAAAATCCGTGTGAAAAAAATTGGTCCTTAATTTACACACGAAACAATTTCCTCCAGTTTTTTTTTTTTTTTTTATTAAACTCCAGGATTTATTTATTTATTGAAATAACCGGAAATGACCTAAACTTTTCAATAATAACATAATAATAATACTAATAAAATTTTTTTCTTTTTTTTTCAAACCAATTTTCAACTGAAGAAATTTAATATTCATAATAATAATAATAATTAAAAGTTTTATGAAAATTCTTAATACTTTTCATAATTGTTTGTTGTAATACTGTTTGTTTGTTTTGAAAACAAACATTTTTAACAAACAAAATTGTTTTTATTTTAAAAACGAAATGGCGCGAGAAAATTAATAAATTTTTTTTTTTTTAAACCTTTTGTTTACCTTTTTTTTTTTTTCATTTAAAATCTTTTAATGTCCGTCATCGTTTTAAATTTTGTGTGTTTTTCCATTTTTAATTTTCCATTTAAAAATATCATTTTAATCATTTTAATCATTTAATATCATTTTCCTTTTATTTTTTTTCCTTTGAGCTTGTGTGTGACGTAAAAACGGTAAATTTTTTTTTTTAATTCTTTTTTAACGGTTTTTATCACGTTTTTCGTTTCCTTTTTTTTTTTAATTTCTTTTTTTTGTTGTTTTAACTTCCGCTTTTTCTTTTTTATATATTTCCACTTCCGCTTCGTAGAGTAACAAAATTTAAATAAATCTTTTTTTTTATGTTTTTTCCTTAAACAAAAAAAGGTTTCGAAAAGGTTTAAGTTATTAAAAACCGAAAAAAAAAAAAATTTTTTTTTTTGTTTTTTTGCGGTTATTTCCATCATCATCATCATTATTATTATTTTTGTATAAAAAAAATTAATTTATTTACATTTTTATACTTAATAAATTTCAACGATTTTCTTACGTGAATAAATAAACCGGAAATGAAAGTTAAAATAAAAGTCGGGGAAAAAAAAAATTTTGATAGAAATTTGACCGGTGAAAATTCGATGATAATTAAATTAAATTAAATGTTAATTAAATTAAATTTTTTTAATTAAAAATATTGCCGGCACCGCCACCACCACCACCGCCTCCGCCACAACCGCTTCCGCCACCACCATTATCATCCTATCATCGTTTTTTTTTTTCTTTTTAATTTCGTAATTTGAGATTGCCTTGGAAAAAAAAAGGGAAAAAATCGTTCAAATTATAATTTTTTTTTTCTCATGTTGCACAAACTGATTTTGAAAATATTATTATTATTATTATTCATTCATTCGTTTCGGAATTTAATATTTGAATTGGAAAAATGTACAGAAAATCGTTAAACATGCGAGAGAAGAAAGTTCTGAACAATAAAAAAAAAATGAAAAAAAATTT